GGCTGGAGGGTTGGGGTGCGCCGAGGACGTGTCCCGGCCTGAAACTGGGTGCGGTCCGGTGCGCACGTGTGTGAGTGTGCATGCGAGTGAGTGTGAGATCCAGCGCTCAAAGTCTATAAATGCAGAGTGGAGGAGAGCAACTACACTCCATCGAGTGTCCTTTCTTTCTTTCCCCATCCAGGGGGCGGATGCGATAGACACAGGGGTAGCTACATTGTCAGCACAGTCTTCGTGGTGGAACAGGAGATGCCAAGCTGAGGCTTGCCCCATCCAGTGTTACCAGTGTGAATGCACTTGTGCCCGCAGATGGCAGGGCACTAGTGGGTAGACTAGCACTCTAGCGCGCTAGACTGACTGCTCAACTGTCCACGTGGGTTGGGGAAAACAGCTTGTCTTTGGCAGACGGCAAAGAAATGATCTCATTTTTTTTCCCCCTCGCTGCAAATAGAATAATTTAAAAACAAATCTTACAAGCTGAAATGAGCACACATTCATTTTGTCATATGTATTTGTTTTATTGGTGGCAAAAAAAGAAACCCACCACATCAGTTACCTTGTTAAATTACATTTTAAAGGCCAACAAAGGTTCCCCATGTAAAAACAAGTAAAACAAACATAATAAACACAAACCTCTCCAAAGAAAATCCATAGTGCATTTGTTCTTTCTGCGTGCTTGAGAGGGGAAAATTGAGGTTATGCATAAATAATTTTGTTTCTGCTCTTGACCTGAATTCTAAGAAAGTAAATTATTTCTCAAAAGCCTCAGTAGTGTCATGGAATTTATTACCTACTGCATAATTTTAATGATATTCTAACAAGATTTTAGTCATCAGTAATGGCCAGTGAGTGCTCAAAAAAAAAAAAAAAAAAAAGGGGGGGGGGTAGATCTATTTAGCCAAATACAACATAAAGACAGTCCCTGGTGCAGGATTTTTTAGGTTGGCTCTGAAGTTAGAGGATACTAAAAACCATAAAAATAAACTGAATTTACAACCTAACTAGACTGTGACATAAATTTAAACTACTATGAAAACTAAGGGTACGTGGCATGTACTTTTCCCTAATAAATAACTCACAGTGTAATGTTCGAAATGCTTTCATGTACAGATAGATTATCTCACTTGTCACAGACACATTAAGTACAGATGTTCCTCAACTTACATTGGGATTATGTCCTGATAAACCCATCATAAATTGAAATTATCTTAAGTCGAAAATGCATTTAATACACCTACCCTACAGAATATCATAGCTTAGCCTAGCCACATGCGGCTCTTTGGCCCCTTGAGTGTGGCTCTTCCTAAGCCTTAAGAGTACTCTAATTAAGTTAATAACAATGTACCTACCTATATAGTGTAAGTTTTAAAAAATTAGCTCTGTTGACTAAAGTGTTTGCTGACCACTGGCCTGGCCTAACTTAAATGTGCTTACAACACTTACGTTAGCCTAAAGATCATAGATAAATTGGGCAAAATTATCTAACACCAAGTCTATTTTATAATAATACTAGAGGCCTGGTGCACGAAATTTGTGCATGGGGGTGGGGGGGTCCCCTCAGCCCAGCCTGCACCCTCTCCAATCCGAGATCCCTCTCACAATCTGGGACCGCTGGTTCCTAACTGCTCATCTGCCTTCCTGCCTGATTGTCCCTACTGGCCCCCCTGCCAGCCTGATCACCCCCAACTGTCCCCCTCGCTGGCCTGGTTGCCCCCAACTTCCCCCCCACCAACCTGGTCATCTCTTATTGTCCCCCCCTGCTGGCCTGGTCACCTCCAACAGCCCCCCTCTGCCTGCCTGGTCACCCCTAACTGCCCCCCTCTGCCGGGCTGGTTTCCCTTAACTGCAACCCCTGCTGACCTGGTCGCCTCCAACTGCTCCCCCCACCGGCGTGGTTGCCCCTCACTGCCCCCCCTGCCAGCCTGGTCACCCCACACAGCCTGCTGCTCAGTCATTTGGTCGTCCCTCACTAACCCCCCTGCTGGCCTTGTCGCCCCACTCAGCCTGTTCGGTTGTCCGTTCGGTAGTCCGTTCAGTTGTGATGGCTCCTGGCTCTTTATTTATCTACACTAATAAAAGAGAAACATGGTAATTAGCGTACGACCGCTACCCTTCCCATTGGCTAATCAGCATATCCTTATGCAAATTAACTGTCAGCCAAGATGGCGGCCGGCAGCCAGGCAGCTGGAAGCAAACATGAGGCTTGCTTGCTCCAGTGACTGCAGACTACAACGTTCCCCACCTGACTTGCCGGCCTCTGAGTTGCAACTCTAAGCAACTATGTACTATGTTGCAAAT